TCGATGGCGATGCGTTCAAATGGCGCTCCGACCAAAGACGGCTGCAACTTTCCTACAGTGGGGCGTCCAGGACCTTTACGCTATCCGCAAGTATGACAGGCAGTGCACCAGCTCTTCACATCAGCTAACTTCGTCCCCACAGACACCTCAGGAACGGCCGACACTTCAGATAACTCAAACAGTGAGGAATTGTATGGTAGAGGTACTGCACCTGGGAACAAACGCGTCCGCTTGGAGATACTCCACTATCATGGGCAACAAATAAAGTCACTGGCACTAAAATGGTGTTCGCACACACGCGAAGAGCCTCCTAATGGAACACCGCAGCTATTTTCCCACCGTTGTCGCTTCACTTGACAATTAGGAGGTTTAAAATAACGCACAAGTTTGTTGTCCTGGCTCTTGCCACACAGAGCGCACCGCTCGTAATTCCTTTTGATTTTATTTTTGTATGTATGTATTTAAAATCAGTCGCACAGCTCAAAATTGAAAATTGAAATTAAAAAATTAAAATTTTGAATTGCATAGGGTTAAGAGTTGACATTACAGTCGCAGTTCAAATAAGAGAAATGTCGAAATCACTTCTACCTTGTTATGCCTTGGATATGAGCGTTAGACATACTTACATATAATGACTTGTCAAAGCAAAGTCTCAGAGAAAACTGAAAAGATTTTTGAAGTGAAACTTCTTATATTACGTTCAAATTGGCCCCATTTAACTTGTTAAATGAAAAAAGCTTTTTGTAAAAAACAATCGTCCACATTGAACATTTCGAGTTAACTTTGACGGTTGATTTCAAATAAATGGCGTTCAGGGTTAGAACTCCGGCAAGCTTAAATCGGAAAATCGTANATCCAAAGAGAAATTTTTTTCAGTTAAGTATGCCAAAATGGCTTCTGATCCTTATTTTATATTCGCCGAAAAATGCGTTACGCTATCCTCCAATTGTTTCCCTGGAACTTTACCCTATAAACCTTAGACTCTACAATCTCTCTTTAGCCAAAGTAAGGAACCAAATGGATTTTTAATGACAGAGTTATCATCTAATATTTCAAGCAAGTGTTGCATATTTTAGCGAAAGAGTGAAGAGAGTCTAAAATACCATTTCAACAATTATTATCGTGGAAAAATTACGAAATTTTGGCCATTTTCCAGAAAAAATACCTTTAAGAGGCATATTTTTGTTTAGATATAGTATGTGCTACATAAAAATACAAATTAGTCTAATATTATTTATATTATACCTTAAAAATTACCTGAATTCATAAATTTATGTTTGTATTAAAAAGAAAAATAATTTTATTATATTATATATATTATATATTTTATATGCGATTTAACTTTTTTATGAACATGTTTTTTTCATTTAACTGGTTCAAGCCCATTTAGCATGTTTAATTCGTCAATTTGAACATAGTATTAGGCGGCGGTATCCAGTGTTGCCACAAAAATTTACCAAATTCCTCAAAAGAAAATGACAAATCCTCAAAATCCGAACAAATTACTCAAAATTTTCTTATTACAGATATTACTGGACTGCATACTATTTAAGGGTACTTAGTATAAAAATTAATTACATTTTCCAATTCAATTGGTGCATTTGTTCTTGCGGTTCAAACAAAGTATCACCGTTATTCTTTATGCCTTGGTGTGTATATAATATATATAATATTACTCCAACTATATCAATGCTCAATCTGGTCCTAAAGTGCGTCCTACACATTTTTAAACCACTAAATATGCGTTCTACTGAAGCAATAGAAAAGGGCTATATTAGTAATGCAGATATAATTTTTTTTAATTAGGAAACTTATATGAACCTGAAGAATCTTTTAATTCAAAAAATGTTTTCCTTTNTTTTTCCGTTAATTTTCTGGATCTAATAAAGAATCAATATGAATATCCTTATGATCGAACAATGCGTATTCTCTCCATTTGTTGCCGAGATTTTGCAAGTTCAAAATAAGTTGCAAATATAACGATGGAATGAAAAAAGTTATCGATAACATTTTGAATATTTAGCAGCAAATGCATATGTGCTTAAGAAATCGAAGAAAACCAAACTCTTTTATATTGTGAACCGGAAGAAAACTAAAATTCTTTGCTTGAACGAGTCATGTTTGCATGGTGTATGGCGATATGGGAAAAGTAGGTTTGAAGAATGTTTGACAAGCCGCTTGTGTGGTGTATTTCGCTCTTTGTAAAACTTCGAAAAGCTTTTTGTTCAAAAATTTGCAGAGCTATTTAACAACTCTCTTGGGTAAAACATGGTTGCATTTCGATGGTCCTCTGCAATAACGACACAACTCAAAATTTCATTTATTTAAGTAGAGCAAATTAAAGATTTTTTGTTTCGTAATTTAGCACTAATATGTCTTGGAAGGAAATTATTCCGGATTATTTGCAGTCATTCTATAGGGAAAATTTGTAAGCTTTGAAATTTCGACTTTTTCTAAAGATTTAGTAAGTGTTGGACTGCAAAAAGACTAAATAAGTAACAACTCGTAAGTATTTAAACGAAAAAAATTCCATTTGTATTGCTGAACAACAGCACAAAACGAAAAGTGTCGGTATTTCCCATAAAAAAATACTAAGTGCCTTACTAAAACTATGAAATCAATAACGGCACAATACGAAAAGTGTCGTTATTTCACATAAAAGCATCACCAACCTATCGAGAGCTTTTGACATATGCCAATATCCACGATAAATGTGAGACATGTGCCACTGTGCAGTAGCAAGGTTTGGCCACAGTATACAGTAAACCATCCATTGACAATATGCTTATTTGAAAATTAATACATGAAATATTGTGTATGTGTAGGATTTTTTTGTCATTAACCCATAGGCAACGGCTGGTGCAAAAGTACCCACAAATGTTTGTTGATATACTCGAAATGTTAATTTAAACAGCAAAATTCATAAAAACAATAATAATAAAACAAAAGTATTGTTAACTACTACATGGGAGGTGGGCGTGGTTATTGACAGATTTCGCCAAAATTTAATACTAACCTAAATTATACCAAAGGCAACTTCGGCACCGACTTTCGTTAAAATATCTTAATTTTGTTCGAGTTAGCGTGTTTACATACAGACACGGCTGAACCAATTCTTCTCGTCATCTCAAATCGATGGGACCATTTTCCAAAGTCAGTCCTTATTCATTCAATTATTCACTCAAAGCTGTGTTCCGAATGCGGTATGACTTATACAGGAATTACATCCGGTCACAATCGCTAACGCTTCACTCCTCATTTCCCGGAATTTTGCATTTTTCTCATTATTTTATTTTATGTGACTTGAAAATATTTTTCACTATAAGAAAATATTAAATTTGATTTCATTTGGGTTAACGAAAACGACGAACCATCCAATACATTCAAACAAATTGTCAAATAAGCATATTTACATTTTTTGTTTTGCCTATCTGGATTACTGTATACTGTGGGTTTGGCTACTTCGGTGTTGTGTCAAATGGAAAAACTGCGCCTCTGCCGGATTGGTGACAACTAAGCCTATGTCGATTTGCCACAGAAAAATATGGTTATTTATAAACCTAATCCGCTATATAACTCAAAAACATTAAATTTTGAGTTGTGCCGTTATTGCAGAGGACCACCGATTTGTTATCTGCAAATATATCAAGACAAAAAAATTCCTCAAAATAAAAATCCTCAAAAAATACTCAAGCGCACCCGAAATTCCTCACGTTTTGAGGAATTACTCACAAAGTGGCAGCACTGGCGGTATCGCAAAAATGGAGAGTGAAATTTTTAAAACTGAAAACGGCTCATGAGTGAGAAGGAAGATATAGGTAGTACAGGGAAGGGGAAAAAAGAAATAAAGCGACGCATGACGGGTACGAGTACCAACATATGTATATATGTATGTTTGAATGCACGTATGTATGTATACATATATATATGTATGTATGAACGAACTAATTGCGCATTTCAGCTCTGCCGCTACCAAGCAATATACATATGTATAAATGATGCAAGTGCAAGATCTATACATAGAAGCAGAGAATGTTAATGTAATGAGAAGGAGCAAATGTTAATGTTAAATTTTTTAGTACTACTAAATTCTGAAAGGTTTGAGATGCGGGAGTTCACCAAAATAAATATTTGATGCGAGAGTTCACCAAACTAAATTTTTTACCACAGAAAGAGACGCATTTTTTCACCTTTTTGCTTTGCTCTTGCGATATACCGTTAGGCTAAAATGAAAATTGGCTATTTTTAGATTTTTTATAAGAAAAGCGGAGAAATGGTAAAAAAATACCAAAAATGTAATTTGGCTATTTCTAGATTTTGTCAAAAGTAGAAATGCGCAAAAATTGTAAAAAAATGGGGAAAGGGAAAATAAAAGCA